TTAGTATGAAGAAGACATACTTATGGTAGGCCCCATAGCTCATGCCAGCTGTGCATGTTCCAGGGCTTTCATGTGTTGTCTTGCTTCTCTGTACTCCAGAGAGGATCTAGCCCCTGATATAATAAGTTCAAGGCCAGAGAACCTGCCATGGAAGCTCCTATATCCACCATGAGTGACCCTTTGTTTTACTGAAAGGAACATCCCCAGGCTGCAGACATTGTTTACATGATCTTGCTCTTTGTTATATCCAAACTTATCTAATAAAAGAGAAACATGCAAATTGACCATACCTTTGCTACACTCACAAGCCATGCCCACCAGCCTATCAGAACAAATAATATGCAAATTAACCCAACCAAAGATGGTGGCCAGCAGCCATGGAGCTGGAGCAAGCAGGAGGCTTGGATGCCCCGGTGATGGAGGAAGCAAAGCTTCCCACCTGCCCGGGCTGGCTGTGGGCTCTGCTCAAGGCAACAAAGTTTCAATTATAGAAGATAAATAAATCCCAGATACCTGCTTTCAGCCAGCCTCCACTGGGAGCTTGGCTAGCCTGCAAAGAGCCATCAGTCCCTCACCCAGACAGGCCAGGCACCCCAGTGGGGACCCCTACCCTGAAGGGGCTGTGGACAGCCTGCAAACAGCCATCAGCCCCTCACCCAGGCTGGCCCGGCACTCCAGCGGGACCCTTACCCTGATCCGGGACACCCTTCAGGGAAAACCAGCCGGTTCCCACCCTTGCACCAGGCCTCTATCGTATATAATAAAAGGGTAATATGCAAACTGACCCTAACAACAGAACGACTGGGAATGACTGGTCACTATGACACACACTGACCACCAGGGGGCAGATGCTCAATGCAGGAGCTGCCCCCTGGTGGTCAGTGTGCTCACATAGGGGGAGCTCTGCTCAGCCACAAGCCAGGCTGATGGCTGCCCATACGGCCATGGTGGTGGGAGCCTCTCCTGCCTCCTCAGCAGCACTAAGGATGTCTGACTGCAGCTTAGGTCTGCTCCCCGTTGGCAAGTGGACATCCCCCGAGGGCTCCCACGCTGCCAGAGGGATGTCTGACTGCCAGCTTAGGGTCAATCCCCCAGGGAGCGGGTCCCAGACTGCAAGAGGGCACAGGCCGGGCTGAGGGACTCCCCTCCCCCGACGAGTGCACATATTTTTGTGCACCGGGCCTCTAGTCCTATATAATAAAAGCCTAATATGCAAATAGACCGAACGGTGGAATGACTGATCGCTGTGACGCAGTGACTGGGATGAGTGCTGCTCCATTGACTGGGATGAGTAGCGCTCCCACAGTGGCCAATCCCCACAGACAACACCCCCCACCAGTGCATTAATCCTGTGCACCAGGCCTCTAGTATAGTCATAATTGGCAACATTTAACCTGAGACTGCAGAATGAAAAGGAAGGCATCTGGCACTGTTTTGTCAGTCCTCCTGCTTTGTTAAGCTTTTTTCTGTAGTAGAAGAAAAGTCTCTTCTATTATTATTATTTTTTTTGTATTTCTAAAGAGTTCCTGCATCTTATGCCCTCTGTACCACTGAAGAATTACCATAATAAATAAATGCTGTGAACACTAGACAAAAGCAGTAGGAGATGAGATCACTAGTGAGGCAGGCTATAGCCACATCTGAGGAATTAGTGAAAAGAATGTAGAAATGTACAAAGTGGCTCACTTCTCACAATGAAAAGCATGGTTGTGAACTGCCTTCCCCCCAAAACTGCTGAAAACATTCTTGTATAGATCTTTTGATTTCTGATCAAGTGGGGGCTCCTCTTCCCCACTGGGTGCTGCTGGAGGTAGAGTTCTTAAGATATACAGAGAAAAGGAATTTTCTGAGACTTGCAAAGAACAAGTGATTATTATGTGCATGGAATTAAATCCATGTGTTTCTAAAGTCCCATTTCCCTTAGTCCAGTCAGAAGTGTACCTGGGGTTTCAGTACAGCATCAGGCTAGAAGCAAAGCCAGTGTCCAGAGTTTCTGTACCGAGTTGGAGCAGGGCCCAGTACAGCATCAGGCTAGCTGCAGTCCATTAGTCCACTGTGTGTGTGGGTTCACATGGCCGTGGGGCATGTGAGTAGATATCGGGAAGCCAAGCATAAGCCATGAGCCAAGTGTGCCAGGAGCAACCAAGAGCGAATGAGAGAGAGAGAACCCCTTTGTTTAGGGCAGTGGTTCTCAACCTTCCTAATGCCATGACTCTTTAATACAGTTCCTCATGTTGTGGTGACCCCAACAATAAAATTATTTTCGTTGCTACTTCATAACTGTAATTTTGCTACTGTTATGAATCATAATGTAAATATCTGATATGCAGGATGTATTTAGGCGACCCCTGTGAAAGGGTCGTTCAACCCCCAAGGGGTCGTGACCCACAGGTTGAGAACCGCTGGTTTAGGGGGCTATGTATCCCAAATCTTCACGCCCTTGCAACAACCACATCCATTCTGGCCAATGACTTTTGTTCCCAGGTGTGGCTGACAGATAAGTACCTTTCCTATGTCATCCTAACTTCACTGGACATGTGTCCATTTTCCCTTTGTTCAGTAGCCTTCCCCGAATGTTTTGCTGGGAACATACCTATAATATCTGGCCTTCCCTCTGCTCCTTTTCTATTATTAATAACTAGTTAATTACAATGGTATCACTTTGATCTTTTCAATAACTTAACACTTACTTTTTAATTTTCAAGTTCGGCAGAGGCCTTTCCCTGAAGCCTATTCTTAAAATTTGTGTAAACTTATTCCAAGGTATGCCTATTTCTGACTAAAGCTTAAAGATTTCTTCTTCTCTTCTTTTGCTGTCCTTCATCTCACTTCTGATCCTTCCTTTTCTTTAATTTTTAAATATATTTTATTGATTTTTTACAGAGAGGAAGGGAGAGAGATAGAGAGTTAGAAACATCAACGAGAGAGAAACATCGATCAGCTGCCTCCTGCACATCTCCTACTGGGGATGTGCCTGCAACCCAGGTACATGCCCTTGACCGGAATCGAACCTGGGACCTTTCAGTCCGCAGGCTGACTCTCTACCCACTGAGCCAAACCGATTTCGGCTGATCCTTCCTTTTTCTAAGTAGGATTATTTCATATCACAATTCTCATGTTAACTGTTTACAATTTGTGTTGTTGGTCATGTGTGTTGGGGAGATTTGATCAGGAAGCAGAACTCATCACTGCCCCTCATCCTTTTACCCACCATCCAGATGTGCAGCATTCAGAGCATTCCTGTGGTGACATCAATGTGTCTGGGGGCTGGATCCAGTGCAGGGTTTCTGATTCCAGTGGCTTTGAATAGGGAAAATGAAAGGCTACTGAGCATGATCTCCCGACCCTCAAGAAAGCAGAGTTATGCTTGTAGATTCCACCCCTCTGTCAGCTGTGGGCATCATATTCAATGAGAAATTTATCTTCATAGCAAAAGCATAGTTTTGTTTCAACAGAAGCACCTTAAAGGCACACAAGAATTATGGTGCAAATAAGATTACAAAATACTGCCTCTTTCTTTACTATTTTAAATATTATAACTGCACTTGAGTCAAAGGTGCTGACCTCATTGCTGGGAAATTGTCATGGGAGAGAAGCTTGAAGAAACCAGAACCCAGAAAGAGCAGGGCAGCAGGTTCAGATGGGTGTTCATATCCTTTCTGCCTCATTAAGTCCATACTTCACTAGTTCCTAAAGCTGTGTCTTTTATTCTGAGAACCTAGAGAGCAGTAAATATAGTAAGAAAATGCTAGTTGGGGCCCTGTTGGATGGAAGCTCATAGAATCACCTCTATTTTTTGAACACCTGGTGTGTATGTGGTGGGAGCCAAATATACAGTGACGAAGATTATCAAGTAGATGAGATCACGAGGTAGTAGTGGAGACAGCTGTAAACAGGTCATTTTAATTTTGCAATTATATGAAAGTGCTGTGGTAGCTGGGAGATCAGTACAATGTTTAGCCCAAGGAAGAAACCTGATGCAATCTCAGGAAACCAGGAAATAGCAGTGGGTGAGGAGGGACAGAAGCTGGCAAATAAAGGGAGCAGGTTGAGCAGCCGGGTCTTTAAGAAGTCTGTGTCCTGTGTGCAAAGGTCCAGAGTCAATAGACTACACACAGCGTGTGTTGTTACAAGCAGTTCGTTCTAACCACAAAGGTCTTAAGCCCTACACAGCTGAAAAGAATTCTTAAAGTGTTGAGCTGACCCTGAAAAAATTATTTCCTTCTAATTCACCATCTTTATAAATGTGGGGCAGAAACTTGGAGATGATTCCAATGGACATCCCAGTAGACTTCATACCTGAACATAAATTAGGGAGAAATTCCAGGACCTATTGAGATGCCCAAAGGACAACAAAGTTAAGACGCACATCCTGTAACTTCTGTTTCTTGCTGTAATAAGTACACTCTTTCTGTTGAGCATTTAAAATTTTGATGTGTATTTGCCACCATTTGCATTGTCCCTAGCAAATAGGAGAGACTGCCAGGTTCCTGAAATCTTTGCCAACCTAATGTCCTATCAAAATGTCCATCTGACAGATGACACAAGTACCTTCTACTTTTACTTCGCATATCTTTATAATCAGTAAAGTTAAATGTTTATCTCTTATACTTTTGCCCATTTAAAAAATATCTTTGTTGCTCTTTGCTCTCACATTCATAAGGATCATTATAGCTGAAGAAATAAAAGAAATAATAATAATACAGATTGCCAACATTTTCCTCATCATACCATTTGTCTTTCTGCCTTACTTAAACATTTACTATGAATGAATCATCTTTTACCTTGTTTTTCATTTCTTTAAATTAATTAATTCAATCAAAAGCGAGCTTGTTTTGTTTAGTTTTGTTTTGTACATCAGACCCTGGTATTTTTTGGTAATCACTCTTTATTTTTAAACTTTTCTTGGGCAAAACTACCATGGCACACAGACTGATAAAATGAGCCACAGTTTTATGCTGTTATAACATAAGGAGCCCTGTATAATATCTTTGCTATACATTCTCGGCCTATCTAAAAAAGAAAACTGGCCTATTTTCTTCATTGGACCAGGGAGTGCTCAAGTAGTACGCTGGCTGCCATATAAAAGAGCTCTACAAATATTGAAGGCCAGATGTTTTCAGTTTCTTGAATCTCTTCTTTTAATTGATTTATCTCTTTCCTCATCTTCTCAGATTCCTTTTCAAATCCCTCAATAAGTAGTTCTTCTTGAATCTGTAGAAGAGGAGAGAATTCCCTTTTGAAAATCCCAATCAGCAGCACTTTGTATTTAACAACTGCTGCAGCTAAGCACATGTTCTATTTTTCTACTAACTTAGATGCTCTTTGATACATTTGACCAAAAATTTCCAAATATTTGGACCTCGTAGTGGGAGTATCCATTCTTTAAGCCTTTCTAAGATCCCTCAGTGTGATTTCACTGGTGGTGGGGAAGAGCTGGGTTGGGTCAGGCCTGACAACTATGCTTGAAAACTGTTCCCGCCCTGAGGATGTTCTTTGGGAAGGTTGGAGGTTCAATTCAAATGATTTCTTGATTCCACTGAAGTAGGATGACTACACGCATGTAACACATGTAACACATAATGGGAATTTCTGACTCTCTATAGTACACTGGTTATCAAACTCCAGATTAGGACAGAGCATGCATTTTACTCTGGGTGCAGAGAATAAATCAGGCAGATCTGGAAACGAATGCAGCAAACATGAGAGCTTTCTGCATCTTTTATAGCATATCAGGCACAATCTGACATCTTCCACCAGATAGATCTACATGAAGTCTCTTTGATGGTTGTAGCAAACATCCTAAGGACTGAAGGACTAAGGTCCTATTCACTTGGGGGCACGATGAGCCAGTTCAGGAGTCAGGGGCATGTCATTGGCACCCTGCAGACTCTAATGCCACAGAAGGTGCTGAGTCGTAGACTTAGGGCTTTACAATGACCCGATTAATTTGGCATTTCACTGATTCATATGCCTTTGGGTTTCCCTCAGGGTTTATGACTTCAGTTAAATGTTTTGTCCTCTCCTTCACGAGGACCCAGGTTGTTGAATGTCCTCTATCCACTGGCCAGACCGCACCCGGACTTACCTTCTGCTTGTGCTCCAGCATTCTTTCCTGCTCCTTCAGGCGCCTTTCGCTTTGTCTCCTAATCTTCTCCTTCAGTTGGACTAGGTGTTCCTGGAAGCTTTTATCTTGAGCATACATTTTTTCCTGCTGTTCCTTCTGTTTCTGTCTTAGCAGCTCCTGTTCCTTCTCAGCTTCCCAATTCTTGGCATGCTCAGCTGTTCCCCAAGGGTTTTACAGAGGAAAGAAAATAATTTATGCTCAGCTGTACCCTCCTGAGCTCAGAGACTAAAGGGATTTTAAAATGGTAAGGAGAATGTGATGGAAAGGCAGTAATTGGCTGATTGAGCTACCAGAACACCCAGGGTTAGTTTCAGTTCACTTGACTTGTTTAACAGGACAGGAAGCGCCTTGTTTCAGGAGGGTTTTGCTCTCACACCTGTTGCAGGCACTACAGGAACCTCCCCTCCCCTCTGTGATCAGAGCCCTGTCCTGTACCTGCTAGAGCCTTCTCCCCAGCAGTGAGGGCTATGTCTGCCTGCAGGATGGATTCCTTTGTTTCAGCCTGTGACTGTACAAAGTTCTGGAATACCTCATGTGCCTGAAAAAAAAAAAGGAGGAGCAAGGAGTCTTCTTCAATAAAACTACGAACTTGACCCTGTAAATTCTTCATCATTCTTAGGATCCCACAGTGGTTCCCTTTCTTTCACAGTCACAATAAAAAACCGAGCCCTGGCCCATGTGGTTCAGTTGTTTGGAGCTTTGGCCCTTACTCCAAATGGTTGTGGGATTGATTCCCAGTCAGGACACATACCCAGATTGTGGGTTCTATCCCCAGTCCGTGCATGTGTGGGAGGCAACCAACTGATGTCTCTCTCTCTCTTAAATAAAAAAAAGCCATTAAAAAAATCAAACCTCTTTAGTTAGAATAAAACCCTCAATAGCAACCTGTTTCCTATCTCTCCAGCTTCCTATCCTAATATTGCAGCCACCATCCACCCCAGGTTACAGACATCCAGGCTTATGTAGTTCTACACTCATCCTGCATTGTTTGCAATCTCTGCACATTCTTTTTCTTCTGACTGGATGCTCAGCTACCCTTTCTTTACTCAGGTAGCATGTATTGATACTTCAAATTGTAGCTTCTCCCTCCTCTTCCAGGAAGCTTTGCTAAACTTCCTTCTGAGATTTGAATGGCTGCCAGGTACACAGACCTGCTCTACCAGCTCTACCACTTGCTGTCTGTCGGCTTGTAGGTAATGTGTTAGCTTCTCAGTGCATCTCATTCCTTAAGTGTATAATGGAGATGATATTATTCTAATAAATTGATAATCCAAACACAGCACCTAAGATGATACGTGTAGTAGAAAGTGAGTGCTCAATATATGTTAGGCATCACTATCATTATCATCATCAGCAGCAGCAGCATCACTATCAGTGTATACTTGTATGATGACCATATCCCATCATATCCAATTGAATATTTATATGTCCCTTTTCAGTAAGGTCATAAGCTTTTTGAGAATGTTGTTTCTTTAAGCATATATCTTCTATACTTAGCACAAAACTATTACACTGTTTATTAAATAAAACAAATGTTCTATTTCATCTAGACTTTGGATAATAATAAATCCCATATTTAGGAAGAAATATTTCTGGTTTATGTAAAAGCCTCTAACTTATTATGGATAGAAAAGAGAAAAATGTAAGTCTTGCCATGCTTTGCTTTTTTCCCATAAATGGTGCGGTGTGGTTTTAGATTTTAAAAAAGCATCCACAAGACCCTCTGACCCCAATACCCTATCCTTCTCCCATCTTTTTATTCCTCACCTTCACTCCTTTCCTGTGTACCATGGTATAGGACTGTTCAAGCTTGTCCATTGCTTCTAAGTAGAGCTTGTATCCATCAGGCACAGAGAAAGTTCCCCTAGAAATACTTTCCATCAAGGGCTCTGAAAGCTGCTTAAGCTGGGCCTGGCAATATTTTCCAGATGCCTCTTCATTCTGCAGCAAGAAGTATTCCTTCTTCATGGCTATGGTTTCCTGGCAGGGAAATGTGGAGAAACCCAAAGGAGAGAAGTTGTTAGAAGGGAAGGTCCAACTGTGATCTTTTTGTAAGAAGCTGTCTTACTTGTGGTCAAGATGGTGAAGTAGGCAACTGCTGTGCTCATCTCCTCCAGGACCACATTAAATTTACAATTAAATCATAGAACAACCATCAAGAACCATCTCTAGACTAGCTGAAAAGAAGCCCTGTAAAGAAAAATATAAAGAGACACCACAATAAAACTGGTAGGAGGCACAGAGATGTGGAGCCCGCAGGTCTCACACTTATGTGTGGCAATTAAGAATAGGAGGGATATCTCAGTGGCTGAGAGTCCTCCTGTGGAATGATGAGTCCCAGCCCACACTCGGTTTCCCACTTCAAGAAACCATTACCAGAAAGAGAAATTCCTCCAATGTCTGTCTGTGAAAACCTGGAGGGATTGTGAATGAATGAGGAGGGCTTCAGGAGTCTCAGGTGTTCCCTTTGAGGGGCTTAGGAAATGACTCACTTGACCTAGTCTTGCAAGGGAAGCAGCTTGAAAGGCTCCAGGGATATACAGGGAGAAATGTAATTGACTAGTGTCAGGGCTATGGTGCAGGGGCAGAGGTCAGGGTGGCCCTCTCTGGGGAGAAGTGGGGGCAGGTGCCCATGGCTCCTTTGATAAGCACTCTCCCCACCCAGCTGGCAGGCACAAATGGGAACCAAATTTGAGCTCTCTAATAACATGGATAACATAATTTATACTAGAGGCCTGGTGCACGAATTTGTGCACAGGTGGGGTTCCTCAGCCTGGCCGGCAATCTAGGCCTATCAAGGGGCTGGCCCTGGGGTGAAGGACCCCAGGAGGTTGGCCAGGCAAGGGAAGGGGCTGCAGGTGGTTGGCCGGCCGTCCCAGTCCCTGATTGTGTTGGGAGGGGCAATCAAGGGTGGGGCCGGACAGCCCCTCCCCTAATCGGGGATGAGGGGCCTGATCAGGGGCAGGGTAGCCAGGGAGAGGGGCCACAGGCAGTTGGGGAGGCTGATCAGGTCCTAGATAGGGCCAGTTGGCTGCTGCAGTGGAACTCATAGCGACTAGCCATTCCAGTCATTATGGTCATTCTACTCTTCAGTCACTGGGCTTTTATATATGTAGATTACAATGGAAATTTCTTGAGACACTACTCCAGTTTTTACCTGGTCCAATTGCTTCCAGTAGGTTTTCCACACAAGTGGCCAGTCTTAGCTCACACCGACACTGTCTTAAAATCTTTGAAAGGCCTAGAAACCCCCACAAAGCAGTGGTTGGCCTTGGCATTCCCTGTACCTCTTGCTAAGCAACTCTAAGTCTGATAGAAGCAGTGACCTGAATAGGCAAAGCAATCTTAAGAAAGAAGAACAAAATTGGAAGTATCATGCAACTTGATATGAAACTATACAGTAAATTATAGTAACCCAAACAGCATGGTACAGGCATAAAGACAGACACATAAGGCCAATGGAAGAGAATAGAGATACCAGATATAAACCTCCCCCTATATTGGCCAATTAATGTACAACAAAGGAAGCAAGAATATGCAATGGGGTAAAGACAGTCCCTTCAGTAAATAGTATTAAGAAAACCGAACAGATCCATACAAAAAAATAAACACAAAAAGGATTACAGACTAAAATGTAAGATATGAAACCTAAAAGAAATCATAGGGAATAAAGTCTTTGACATCACACTTAGTAATATATATATATATTTGCGTATATCTCTTTAAGCAAGGGTAACAAAAGAAATGTGTCTACATCAAACTAAATTGTTTGGAACCATCTACAAAAACGAAAAAACACCCCAGTGAACAGGAGAAGGTATTCGCCAATAATACATGATAGATCTGATAAGGGGTCAATACACAAAATTTTTAAGGAACTCATACAATTTCACACACAGACAGACACACACACACACACACACACACACACACACACACACACAATTAATATATTGAAAGGGAACCTGAATAGACACTTTTCCAAAGAGGACATACAGAGGACCAAAAGACATAAAAAGATGCTCAGTATCACTAGTCATCAGGGAAATGCAAATTAGAACCATGATGAGATATCACCTCACACCTGTCAGAATGGCTATCATCAATGAATCAACCAACATGTGTTGGCAAGGATGTGGAGAAAAGGGAACCATCATGCACTGTTGGTGGAATTTTAAGATGGTGCAGCCACCATGGAAAACAGTGAGGAGACTCCTCAAACAATTAAAAATAGGACTCCTCAAGCAATTCCACTTCTGGGTATTTATCTGAAGAAATCCAGAACACTAACTTGAAAAGATATATGCACCCTACATTATTGCAGGATTATTTACAGTAGCCTAGATGTTAAAGCAACTTAAGTGTCTATCAATAGGTAATTAGAAATGGTACATATATATATACAAGGAATATTATGCAGCCATATAAAAGAATGAAATGTTGCCATTTGTGATAACATGGATGTACTGAGAGGGTATTATACTAAATGAAAGAAGGCAGACAGAGAAAGACAAATACCATATGATCTCACTTTATGCGGAATCTAAAAAACAAAGGAAATGTAAAAAAAAATGGAAACAAACTTATAAATATAGAGAGCAAGTTGATGACTGCCAGATGGGAAGCAGTTTGGGGTGATGGGGGAAACAGGAAAGGGGATTATGAAGTACAAATTATCAGTTATAAAAACAGTCACAGGGGTTTAAAGTACAGCATAGAGAATAAAGCCAATAATACTGTAATAACTTTGTCTGGTGCTAGAAGGGTACTATACTTATTGGGGTGATAACTCTGTCAGTTATATAAATTTCTAATCATTATATTGTATACCTGAAACTAATATAATGTATGTCAACTGTAATCGAAAAAATTAAAAAAAAAACTAAAAGAAGCAGTGTGATGGCATCAGGGTGGACTGGGAATTGGAATGCCAGGCATCATATGGAAAGTCCCTTATTCACTTTGGCTCAGGTCCAACCCCTGTGAAATTATGAGGTCAGTAGACATGGTGCCTTCCCCCCAAATTGACATATAATTGACACATGACATTATAATAGTTTTAGGTATACAACTAAGTGAACCATTATTTGTATACATTGTGAAGTGATCACCACAATAAGTTGTTAACATCCTCACTTTATCTATCTATATAAAAGGCTAATATGCTAAGTGTCCATCCAGGTAACAACATCACTCAGCAATACCCAGCTTCCTCTCCCTAGCAACAACTAGTCTCCATGCAGTTTCTTCAGCCCAGGCTTTACAGCCAGGTGGAAACATTTCACACTTTAACCAAAGGTCTGTGAAGTGTTTTCTAGTGCTTTATTTAATTTGATCCTCCCAGAAGTCCTGGAGTAGGTAGATAAGATAGGAGACTTGGTGGAATCCTATTTTCTTTTCATTAGCCAGAAAATGGAGATTTAGAAAGCTTAGAAACTTGACCCAACTGAAAAGAAGTAAGAAATGGTGGAAATGACTTCAGGTTTTCTCACTGCACAGAATATAGTCAAACACTGCTGCAGTTAAATCGTTTATTTACCCTTTGTTCTCCCTGCAAAATCTACAACAATAATCTACTTCATGTTGATATTTACTGCTGTGTTGCTGACAATTACCTGAAAGAGAAGTTGGGGTGCTTCACTGGGCTGGAAAAAATTTAGCTACATCACAGAAAGCTGGTCTAATTAAACACATTATATATATGGCCAAGTTGACTTGCACATGTGCAGTACATATAAAGCTCTCACTGGTGCCAATCAATCACATGTGTGTGTTTTGCTCTGTCACTGTTGATCATGAATTTGGTTGACACGTCTATTATAGAGAAAGGGTGAACACTGATTTATTTCTTCTAATTAATTTTCTTTCAATGTGCACAAATTCATGCACTGGGAAAATAGTATAGTTATAAACATTTATTTTTCTTTGGATGTGAAGTTTTATGATTTACTCCCTATTATCATTCAAATATGCACCCCAGTTTTATGCATGGTTCCTTTATTGGTAGTAGGGTTGACCAACAATGAGCAATGGAGAGTTCAATATGACTTTCCTCTACAAACTTGGGTTGCTATGGATAAAATATATACATAGCAAATCAATTGCCCACTAATAAGTTCAACAGTCTCTGAACAGAGTTTTAAGCAACTCCTAATTTTTTTCAATGAGGGTTTGATTGTGCAAAAATATAGAAAGAAAATGTTTTTGCTGGACTTTGACATTTTAATGAAGTTGCTTTTATTCTATATGAACTGAGAGATTTTTGTAACCTGTAAAATAGTCAAAGGCACACTCAAAGACAAACTTTCAGTGAAGGTGCTGATAGTGAGTAGAATTTTGATGTCTTCTAAGAGTTCTCTCCCTTGGTGTCCACTCCCTACCTAGTCCTTGGACCCATGGGTATGGTGAGTATTAATCCTATGATTAGATTATGTTATACAACCCAGCTTGACTTTAAGATGGAAAATTTCTGGTGGGCATTATCTAACTACATGAGCCCTTTAAAAGAAGATTTCTCCAGTTGATGGCAGAGTAGGTAGTCACAGAATTTAGAAACAATACAAAAAGATATGATGAATCATTGCTGGCTTGAAGATGGAGGGGAGTTTCCCAGAACCTTCATTTGATCATATAAACCCATTTGAACCTTGTTTTCAGCATGTGGTACACTGAGCAGGGAACCCATATCTTGTTCTGGAATCTGACCTAAAGAACTATGTGTTTTGCAACAATAGAACATAAAAAATAATTTTTTAGAAAAAGCATGTACAGTATCCTATATAGAGGTCAATCACTCACAACAATCCAGGCCCATTCTACAGTTAGAAACACATGAACTCGGGAGTCACTAAAAGGAAATCTAGGCATCATTATAGAAGGGCAGTTTTCAGGGAGGATGTATGCTAGATATCTTACCATAAGCTTCTTCTGGAACACCTGGTCGTCATCCTTGAAGGAGCGCTCCATGAAGATTGCAATGGCTTCCCTCTCAGAGGTTGTGTGCAGGTCCAGCAGCTCCTGCAGCGTGTCTGTGGGGAAGCTCACCCTCTGGGCCATCTGTTCACTGTAGTGGTCAGTTGCCATCTGTAGAGCCACTGAGTTCTCTTGCTCAGCCAGAGTTGTCACCGTGTTCTCCAAACAAGGCACTGCTCCACTGTTGATGGCATCCACATAGGCCTTTGCCAGAGTCCCCAGCCCTGAATGACACATTATATTTAGGAAATTAAAAGGAATTTCTCACTCACTGTTTTACAAGCTTTCAAGATCAGCATTCTAAAAATCGCAGCAATTTTACTGAGATGAAGGGTTCTTTTTCCTTTTTCTTCTCTCCACATTCCTCCTTGTTGCCTCCTCCTTTTATTTTTATGTGTCTACTTTAAATAATGACATTATTGTTTATTCTCTTCATTCTTTTATTGATTTTTGGATTCATCACATTCTATTATGAAAATAATAATCTCATCCAACACATTCAAGAATTTCCTAGAATAATTTCCCTTTGAATATATAAAATGAGTTTATCTTATAGGTAAGTAAAGTAGGTAATTTGTGGGCACTATTTCAAACTGAATGTGGGGCTCCTTTAAAAAAATCAAGAATTTCAGGACAGTGACACAAACATTAAACCAAGCCCAGGTCCATCTCAGCATAGGGCACTGTGTGTCTGCCCAGTTGGCATATCTGTGAATCTAGCTTGCACATAAAGCTATAGTAAAAATTTCATCTCAAACGCTAATGAGATTTCAGAGGCTTATGTTCTGTTATATATTTTTTCTTACTGGTGTAAATTCTCAAAATATCTTGTGTATCCTCAACAAGACACACCCATCTCATTGGTCTTATCATCATCATGCAGATTCCTGCCCTTAACAGCAGCTTGTGCTTATGTCATTGGTGTATTAGTTTCATGAGACACAGTAGGCTTCAACAATCGCTCATATAGGGAAACTTTTATGAAAAGACATGCATGTCTATATGTGGCATGAATGTCTGGTTTTCCACATCACATAGAGAAGGAAACAAATTACCAACAAATTCAAAGTGCAATCACACACACTGAACTGCTGAGAAACTTGCTGTAACAACGAAGACTCACCGATTCCAGTGACAATGATTTCTTCTCTTAGAGTCTTGGTTTTTGCATGTGTAAGGATATATTGACAGAAATTTTTGGATTGCTCCTGAAAATTCCATTCTAGTTGGCTTTCTGACATCTCCTCCATACAGTGTAATACTTTTTTGTCATTTGCAGGCTGGTCAAAGACAAAGCACTTCCGCCTTGGAAAGAACTTCCTGATATACTCTCTAGGCACGTTGGACTTCTGGGTTTGGTGATCCTTGCCTAAAAAAAGAAAAACACTAATCACTGATGAGGCAGTCTTCAGGCAAGGAGATGAAAACATTCATTTCCAGGGATTTTTGCATCACTGTAACACTGGTTCCTGTAAGTCTCCTTTTATTTAATCATGCAAATCAACCTAATGCTAATAATCTACCAAAGCATAGAAATTTTACATTTATTATTTATTTATTTATTTATTTGTTTGTTTGTTTATTTATTTATTATTTCCAACGCCAGGAACATAGAAAGTACTTCTGGAGAAGACAGGAGGAAGGCATCTATCCCAAGTGAAGAAACTTATGGTTATTTTCCTTAGCCCTTCCAATGTGCCCAATGGTTTAACTGTTTATTGTTTTTGAATGATAGATTAATCTCCAAAATGGTCAGAAATACTTTTGGTATTATAGTCCTCAGGCCAGAAATAAAATGTGGGCTCAAAAGTAACAGTGAATTGTTTTCTGGTAGAAATAAGGATATTTATGATACTTCTGGGAAAAGTTTCATGTGAAGGATAGACAATACTCAGAACAGTAATGAAAAACTACAAAAAATAAGAGTTAAAAAAACCCCAAGCAATATAAATACATTCATAGATTTTTTTAGCAGACATCATCAAAAAGTAATGTTAACCTAATGCCACTTGGAGACCTCACCCGTTTTCTATATCAGTTTATACTGAATGTGACAATGTCACACAGTGTGATTCTAGGCATATATCAGCTGTTCAATAAATGATTCTTGAATTAATAAATAAATTATTAAATAAGCAAAAATGAATCTGTTCTTAGGTACTACCTATTATTCTCCCTGCTAAATGTACTCAGTGTTAGGAGTTTAATATTACAAAATATTGTATGAGGCTATAGAATGAAGAGAGCAATGTTATAAAAAACAAATAATAAAGGATTTGAAAGTCTTATAGGAATGATTTGTCAATTATTTTTTTTGGGGGGAAACATTCATACAAATATCTTTTATATTAAGAATGTAACCGTGCAAGCTATTAAAATACACAACATGAAATGTATTTCAAAAATAAAGTCATTTGATATGTTTGTGATTCTGTGTTTATCATCTTTCATACTAATGAGCATTTTTTGCTAAATAGAAATACTAGTAGGTGAGCTCTGAACTTAGTAAGTAACACAAATATTTTAGCCTTAAAAAGTTTTAGCACCGGTTATAATCCTCTAAGTTATTTTTCATGGTGTCAATTTTTCTAAAATCATTTTGTCCAACAATGTATTCTACATTTTCTCAGCCAGCTTAAATTCTGGTCACTTGAGTTTTTTTCAGTAATAATAACAACTGAAACCATGCCCACCTGTCATACACATACCACCATTAACATGGGCTTCAATTGATAAAAAATAAAGATTGACCTTAAGTGCTGAGAAATAGGACTCAGTTTATCACACTTCCCACTGAACCCTCTGCCACTCAGACCATCCTCTGATACCTGGAACCAACTTCAAGGCATTCTCCAGGTACTCATCTTCAGTGATGGTGCGTCCATCTAACTTCAAGTCCAGTGTGAAATCCCGTACAACCCAAACAAAGTCTGGAAAGAAACTTGCAAACTCGGCTGAGTCATCTACTTCACCAGAGCTGGGAGAGGACTTTGTCCTGATTAGCTTTGTTAGTTCAGTCACATAGCTGGGATCTTAGTTAAGGAATGAGAAATGCTCCCCACCAAAATTTCCAGATCTTACCCAGAAACAATTTTTATTAACATTCTTATTCACCCAGTGTTCTTTTTACTTCAACCATGATTATTGACATGAGGAAACCACAATGTCAAAAATAGTCTCAGTTTTCCCATAGCCTCCATGGCACATGGAGGTTTGGTTCCTGGAAGGATACTGCAGCTGCTCCAGGGCCTGGTGGTTGATGCTGCCCATGCTGTTGTAGACAAACATGCTGCTAAGAAGCACGGCCAAGGCAAAGATCCATAAGTCTTTCTTAGGGTCACCCTAGAAAGTGCATTACAGTAGGGGACTTAGATGTCTATTGTTTTTGTTTGTTTTGATTTTCAAAAAATAAAATGAAAACTAAAAGTTAAAAAAGTACTTTTTTTTTTGGCTAATGCTCACTTGAGAATATTTTTCCCATTGATTTTTATAGAGAGTGGAATGAGTGAAATGGAGGGAGGGAAGGAGGGAGAGAGAAAGAGAAGAGAGAGAGAGAGAGAGAGAGAGAGAGAGAGAGACATAGATGTGAGAGAGACAGAGCCATTGGTTGCCACCCGCTCCCACCTTAATCAGGGTTGGGATTGAATTTGCAACCGAGGTATGTGCCCTTGACACTTCAGTGTGCAGGCCAATGCTCTAACCACTGAGTCATAACAGCCAGGGCAAAAAATTACCATTTTAATCAAACTTTTACTTTAAAGACGTAAAAATAAATGAAAATGTTAAAGAGTTTTTTCTTTTAAAAAATACACTTACTATAAACTTAATGAAAGAAATATTCTCAAAGCCAAACTGTAAATGATGCCTGTATTCTAAGATGGAAACACAGTAATGAAAAGTTTAAGTGTATAAATGCACTGATCTTTCCTTCAACAGGCACATTTTCCCAACTTATCTCTCATCTTATAATATAATCCATCATTAACATAAAAATTACACCTAAACTGGCTAAGTCTAGACTTACTTAGGTTTTAGTCTGTTTTTTTTGTTTTTTCCCCCACAAAACAAGCTTGATAGCTATAAGATGAGCTAATATTAAATTGTGTCTTATGGCTCAAGTCAAATTACAGGATTATGTTTTTCATCACATAAACAACAATGAAAATAAAACTGGAAGGGAGCCCAGTGTAATAAGTGATCTAAAACAAGTGGAACAATGGTAGGAAATGAAACCTTAAGCTACAGAAGCTGACTTGTGTTTCAGTCAGAAACCATGAAGCCTTCTCGGGCCTGTGATGTACGAATTGTACTCTCTCTGCAACAGCCTTAGTGTTCCAAACACTAGGAACTAGTAAAAACTTTAGGTTTGAGGAACTCCAATGTGGAAAAGCTACCCAAGCATTTCACCTCAAGTGACTGAGAGGTACTTAGAAATAAATGCATGAAAAACCTGAGAGCATGAGACATCCTTTAAGAAAGGGACCTTTAAATGAACTGCTGACTCTGGAGGGCCTCTACCCTTCACTTCTAATTAAGCATGGAAGAAAAACAGAGACTGGCTAATTTTTTTTTATCCAAATAAAGTGCTAACTTAATGGAACCCTTAGTTATTCAAAGTCATAGTATTGTGTGAACCACACAATACTAGTTACACAGTAAGCCAAGGATAACAATCCAGATCTGTTGTTAAAAGTACAAGTTCATGTACAGAATTATCATAATGCTATCCTATATAATAAAAGGCTAATATGCAAATCGACCGAACAGTGGAATGACCAGTTGCTATGATGCACACTGACCACTGGGGGGAAGATGCTCAACGCAGGAGCTGCCCCCTGGTGGTCAGTGCACTCCAACAGGGGGAGCACTGCTCAGCCAGTAGCTGGGTTCATGGCTGGCGAGCACAGCGGCGGTGGCGGGAGCATTCCCGCTTCCATGGCAACACTAAGGATGCCTGATTGCCAGCTTAGGCTCACTTCCAGGCCTAAGCTGTCAGTTGGACATCCCGCAAGGGCTCCCAGACTGCAAAAGGGTGCAGGCCAGGCTGAGGAACACTGCCCCCACCCCACCCAAGTGCATACATTTCATGCACCAGGCCTCTAGTTTTAAATATTATCTACATTTTAAAAAAACACAAATCTTCATCATTTAGGTAAAAAACAAATTTCATGTTTCTTCAAAGGGATGTCAATGCTAAATGTGATTAAAACATTTGAGTAAAACCTTTTGTCATTTTTTTCCTTGACCTACTGAATATTTTCCAGTACCATTTTGTAGTTTTATTGGATGACTTTGGGAAAATAACATGGCGAATATTGTTGTTTTATAATAAAAAGGAGGGCTCTCATTTATAAGCAAACCTGGAACATAGAAGGCCATAAGAAATATGTCAGTGAAGAGCTCATTCAAAAACTATTCAGCATTTAGTATGTAGAAAATTGGAAAGCACAATTGAAGACTGTAGTTCTTGAAGAAGTGTGATAAAACCTCATTTATCAAAAGAACTTGGTGTCAAAGAGTGCCCTTACAACCTCTTCTAACTCTGTAGTAATACATCAGATTTGGATTTTCCTAGGTCTATTACTTTCTTTAAAAAAAAACAGAACAAGGGTAGTGAGCTACAACTACAACTGACTAGTTCAAAAACTGTTTTAAAAGTTAGGTTGTATATTATAAATTTTACACTCAAAACCATCTCTTACAGTCCAAGGTTAGTAACCCAGCCAGCTTAAATCAAAGGTTTTCTCACCTAGGTCCCAGCACATGGATGATGGACTCAAGTACTTACTATACTGGGAAATAGAGAGCAAGAAAGTATTTATTGGTCAAAGCTTAAGTTACACAAGATGTGTCCTTGAATCAGATCCCTCTTCAACTCAAGCACTCCTTTACTGACAGCACTTTGTAAATCACACCAAGAAAATCACCCCAGATGGCAAGAGCTAAGACATTTGAAATGTGGTCACTGTAGCTTTTCACTTGGATGGCAGAAGCAATTGTGGAAGATGGACTGGATCAAGCCTTCCCCAATGTTGTAGGACTGAGCGAGTCAGTGAGTTCACCAATAAAATTATAGTAAATTAGAAATATGCTTATGTGAACCAGAGAGGCAGGACTGTTAGCCCCTGAGGAAAGAAAACTATCCACAGAACTAGAGGCTTTTTAAATTTAGATTTTCTAAATTCATTCTCCTTCCCCATCTTTTTTTTTTTCCTTCTCAGTAATGGAAACCAAAGGTGCATTAGTACTACTTTCAACTTTGACTCATGCTAACATAAATAAGGAGAAAATATTGAATTGCAAGTCACACTATAAATACAAAATACTTATATTATCCCATAATAGTGCTTTTTGTGGGTCTAATTCGTGTTTTTAGAGAAGTCAGTGCAAAATTCATCTTTAACAAATACATATTACTGGTAGCTGAAGCTTTTCTGGAGATTTTCAAGTAGATTATTTCACTGTAATCCATTTTCATGGGTCCTACCTCCAACCCCATTAATCTCTTACAACTTAACTAGTAGGTCCCATGGACTATAGTTCCTCTGGGAATGACTGGGTTAGGATCCCAATTTTTATATTCCCTGATAACACGGCATATTACTTAATTCTCAACTATGCTCTTGGTCTTTGCTTCATTCACTGCCATATCTGCAGTACCTAACATAAAGCCCTGAATGCAGCTGTCCAATAAGTATTTAACTTGTACTTGTTGCCCCAGTGTAAAAATAAAAAGATCTATTCTTAATCAAAGTATTGAATTTACCAAGAAAGTAAGTTCTACAAAATAGAAGTTTGTTTCATTATTCCTAATTAAATTTGTAGCTTAGAGAAATACATCGTGAAAGTTGAGGTGGCAAATTGAAATGTAAGTGGAGTATCAAGAACAAAAAATTATTTGCCTTACCTTTTCCACATCGCCCAGGCCCTCAGTGTCCAGAAGGACCAGAGTGTGGTTGGGCTTGGAGGGGTGGGGTACACACCACATCCAGATGCCCTTGGTTTCAGACCGCACTGTGGAGCCCAGAGGAAAACCTGCAAAGAAAGAGGAGAAAGCGTATAGAGTAACAACAGATAGTCCAGGCTGCCCATAGGTTACATTGGTTAAACTTGTCAGAATGTGAGTGCCAGGCTGGGAGAAAGGTTGCTTTCATTTCATCAAGAACAGCCTATCCAATATTTGTACATATTAAGGACCTTCTCAAGAAACACTTTATGTCCTCTATTTACCTCATATTATCAGTAATAGTTCAAGCTATGTCACATTACATAATTAATATAACCTCTACTGATTATATATATATATTCCTCATCCGAGGACATGTTTATTGATTTTGAGAGAGGAAGGGAGATAGCTAGGCAGGTAGATAGATTGAGAGATAAAATTTGACATGAGAGAGGGAAACATTGATTTGCTGCCCCTTGTACACGCTCCAACCTGGGACTGAACCTGCAACCTAGGTATGTGCCCTCACCCAGAATCAAACCTGTAACCTTTTGGTGTACAGGACCATTCTCCAACCAGTTGCGCCCCCCCAGCCATGGCTTGACTTTTATATTATTTTCTGACACTGAAGAGCTCCCTTGTCCTTCAGGTTCTGGTGGATTTCAACCAGTGGGAGGCATCAAAAAGAGATCAGAGGTCAGACATGTGTTCTCCTCACTTTCCTCCTAGTGAGCCATGGTGTCTTAGTGCCTCTGTTCATTTACCTTTGGTCACTCCCCCTTCCATGCCATATCTCTGGTCTTTGCCACATTCTGTTATCTACTTTTGCTTGCCACATCTGCAATAGTAGTTTTAGAGTCTACCTGGCCATTGCTATTGCCACTCTCTGTATGCATCCTCATCCCACATTGGTTCTTTGTGCTGTGCTTATGCCTTTGTAAATCATCCCTCATTAAATGTTCTTCAGTACCCCCAAATAGGTAATCTGAGTCCTGCCAGGATCTGGATAATACTGCAGCTTTTATTGGATTTTTACCTCCCCTTTATCCCTGTATTTTCCTCAAATTTTTTTTTCTCTTCTAAAAAATGATGAGTTCTTTGCTCACTGCTTCATGTGGTGACAAAATGGAGGGGGAAAGAGAAAGAACCTGTGATATTTTCTAGATCCTCTTTCCAAAGGCAGAAATTAAATACACAGTGGGAGAGAGTGTGGGGTATATGCCAAGGAACCCACTGATGATATATCTTGTCCCACAGTTTAGAATTTTGACCATCTGCCATCTTCCAATGTCTCCTTCAATGAAGAATGGAAATGAACTTGATAAAATACCTAGGGGAGGTTGAGTCAGCATGGCTGAAGTCATTCAATTTCTACATCCAGAGTATATTCCCCAGACAGAATATAAAGCCTGAGGTGGTCTGCGCTCTTCTACATGTGATAGTGTTTGGTTGCTTTCTGACTAATCCATAGTAATCTGAAGTTCCCATTACCCCAGCAAGGAAAGGCAGGGTATAATTGGAAGTCATTGGTCTCAGCTTTGGGAGGTAAAACAAGTTGTCAACAAAGAAAGAGAGTTTAGAGAGAGAGAGAGAGAGAGAGAGAGAGAGAGAGAGGGCTCTAATTCATCAAAGTTTTGCTATGAAATGAAGCAAACAATTGGATGGTAGCCCCATTGAAATATGGGATATACAGAATACACTGCTATTTGTTTACTTCCTATCCTTTTTTAAAAAAAAAAGCAACTATTGAACAATATTTGTATGCTAGAGTTTAGAGCAGAAGTAATGTAGGAGAAAGGAAGGGAATACTTTCTGGAGCTGAGCTGACTAATGGGTGGATCTTTGATAGGGCTAGGGAACTCTTTATTACTGAAGAAATGGGAGACATTTTGTGGACAGATGGGGTTGAAGTTATAAATCTAGCAATTAAACTTAAAAGTTTTCTTCACTGGGAGGAATGAGGCCTTTTTTAAGGATGACCACGAGAGAGGCATGATCAGCCTCTGTTATCACTGTCTCCAAGCAAATGGCGCTGCCCCGGAACAATACTCACCCTGGTTCTTTCCTGCCAGGCGGTTCATCAGGTAGGATTTTCCTGTTCGATACAGACCTGCGATGGCCACCACCACCACAGGCTGAGAGATCTTGTCTAGAATCTCCAGTGCTGTTGGGTTTACTGTCAGCTGATTATTCTGATTTTCCACCAGACAGATGGGATCCATCAGGGTACATTCAGAGGCCATGGTGAGCTGTAACCCAGAGGAACAACTCAGTACAACACAAGATCCTGAAGTCGTTATCTAATGCTTACACAGGTCATTTGCATATCAGCTTTACACTCCTGGAGAGTATATATCAGTTTCCTACATTTTGTATGTTTCTAAAAGATAAATATTTAGCCTAGTGTGTCATGGCCTGGTACAGATTCCTTATGTACATTATTATATTGATCTATAAATGAACCTTAAAACAACCTTGCCCATGTGATGCATATAAGGATTATAATGAGAAAAACAAACCACTGTTGATGGAGCCTTTAGAAGGTTAACATATTGGGGGCAAGTTGAGGCAGAATGGGACATGGCAGGAGATGAGGAGTGACCAGAGAAGATACCAGGAGTTCCATGGTGATTTGTTTTCTTGTTAACTGCATATATTCTCTGAGTAACTACCATATGCTGGGCACTGGTCTATATGCTCAGTATCAAGTGGTGAACAAAATGGATACCAATTCTTGCCTCATGAAACTCTATCCTAGTGCGAGGAGACAGACAATACAGAAAGCAAATAAGCAACATGCATAGTATATGTATATTAGATGAGTTTATATAGAGGGTGGTCAGGGAAAGTCTGCCTCTCTGAGAAAGAGAAATAAATGTGATCTTTGACCTTGAGGAGGACAGGTTTAGTGAATCCCAGAGCAGGAGAGGGCTGGAAGAGGGGAGACATTGAAAGGAAGAGGAAGAGATGAAGAATGTGGCTCCTTCTCAAAATACAATATGACAACCCTAGCCAGTTTTGCTCAGTGGATAGAGCATCAGCCTGCAGACTGAAGGGTCTCGGGTTCGATTCCAATCAAGGTCACATGCCCAGGTTATGGGCTCAATCCCTAGTGAGGGCATGCAAGAAGCACCCAATCAATATTCTCTCTCATCATTGATGTTTTTATCTCTCCCTCTCTTTTCCTATCTGAAATCAATAAAAATATATTTTAAAAGCACACAATAAGACAAAGACAAGTGTCACATGATCTCACTCATATATGGAATCTAAAGAACATAATAAACTGATGAACAAAATAGATCCAGAAACATGTAAACAGAATAGACTATGGAATCTCAGAGGAAGGTGGGAAGGGATTGACCAAATAACTTGTCTGCATATATGTGTAACCAGTAGACACAGACATTAGTGTGGTGAGGGCCTGGGGGAGGGGGAGGTGCAGGCTAGAAGGGGTCAATGGGGAAAAAGAGGAACCTATGTAATACTTTCAACAATAAAGATTAAAAAACACACAATAGGCCAAAGCATTACTGGACCCAGATAAATTAATGGGTGCATGAATTCATTTAATTGGAATCAAAGGACATTATTCCTTACTTTTAGGCTGACAAGGAAGAGAGGCAGTAGCCAGCATGTTTTAGGGTGTGCCCAGATCTGCCAGAGTCCCACAGCTGGTGAGGCCCTACTTTACTGTTTTCATCATAGTGGGTATAAACAGGAGGAATTACAGAATTTATTTCTTTAACTGAATATTTAAAATTTTGGTCAGAATAGATGACTTCATAAAAATTTTTTTTTAAATGCAAGTAAACTGGAGTACCCAATACAAAAGTTGGTAAGTTCAAATAAAGAAGTAAAATGAAATAGTTCTGTGTGGCATTAGATGGTTTCCAAAGTTTATTCCCCAGGAGAGTCCATCATCTGAAGTGATGGTGAAAACTACCCCAAGCCTTGATTTCTCAGCAAGTATGACAGGCTATTCTGAGATGGTTCATGTATGGACCACATGTTAGAAACAATGCCTGGTAAGCAAGCACTATTAGATCTTATAGGTATTTCTAACAGTTGATCAGTGAGCATGAAATTGAATTACTCTATATAACAGAGCTTTGTGCTACCTTTGGGATATTAATTATTGCTAATACAAAAAGAATCTGTGTCAATCTCTTAAGATTTAAATTGTCTGTAAATTAAGGACCACTATTTCTCTCAGTTTCTCCAATGCCTGGAGGTGGGGGTCGGGGAGGAGGTGGTGGTGGTCAGGGACAGTCTGAGGAGGGACAGGGAGATGGATGGAGAGAGACTCCACTAGGAGGGTGTGCAAGTGGATGGGGTTTACTCCATCCATCCCAGGAAAGATTTAACCCCTTTTCGCATTTGAGGGAGGATGCTTTCCTCCCCCTCTTTCCCCCTATGGAGGGCTGTTTGTGTAGCCCTCGGAGGGTGCCAGAGGGGCAGCTCACCCTGGAGACAAGGTGGATGGGGGCTGGTCGCTTCACAGAGAGGCCTCTGATCCAAACAGAGACACTGAGGTGTTGGTAGCCAGGCCCAGTACTAGCTTCCCACTCTCCCCTGCCCTTCAGTGCCAAGCCCGGGCTGCCTGTGTGGGGTGTGCATCTAGGCACCTGTTGTTGTTGTTGATATTAAGGAATATGGGCCTGGAAGAGCAAGTGTAGGAGCGAACTTACTTGTCTCCGTGACTCCTGTGCAGCAGACAGGGGACAAGTTCTCAGCTGTCCTAGCTTTTTCCTCGCGTGTTCCTCCTGCATCTGGCTCCTCCAGATACTGACTGTTCTCTTTAAAAGCTGAAAGTCATGCCAGATATTACAGCCAAGAAGTTATGGGTCGGGTTGATAAGAACCCAAATCAAAAGGCCATGTGCTTCTTTGAGAACTGAATCATTGGGTCTCCCCCGGCCCTCCCTTACCTCACCCTCTTTTTTTTTTTTAACTGAGGCAGGAGAGCAGGTGACCTGAGAAGAAAGTTGAGGTTCCTCCATACCTGTCCTCAGAATTCCAGGTTGGTCCCTCCTCAGGTGGCTTGTGTTTCCTGAACCCTCAATGAATACAGAGCAGCAGGCTGAATGTGAGCCAAGGGACAGCAGGGGTAGTTTTGTGAAGAAAGAGGCATGTTTTTTAATCTCTTTTCCTTAAAATATTTCACTTGTTCAATTATTTTTGTTCAACATAATTTTGTTTCATTAGCAAGACAACAACAACAAGCAAACACATAAAAAACACTGTGTACAAAATTCTTGATTTTATAACCCAGACGAACTCACTATTCTTCTGTTACATATAGTTGGTTTCTTGCTTATACAAGGGTGGATCCAGATTTGGTGGGGGAGGGAGTGAGGACAGTATAATTTGAGAGTCTGTTTCAAATAAAGCAACAGAAAAACACAAATGAAAAGGCAAATATTCAGTCTGGTCAGCAGTCCAGTGTTTGGACCCAAGCACCTAGAGGTCACTTGTTAGATTCCAGGTCAGGGCATATACCTGGATTGCTTGCCAGTAGGGGCCGTGCAGGAGGCAGCCAATCATGTTTTTCTCTCACTGATGTTTCTCTCGCTCCCTTTCTCTCTCTAAATAAAAATAAAAACATATTTAAAAAACAACAAAAAAATCCCCCCAAAAACCCATTCAAAACGACCAAAAGGATGTACTAATATTTCTATAAAGCTGACAAATGTTACAGACATTTTGTCTCATCGGTTTGTTCCTTTTGGTTAAGGTACTCCTATCATATTTGAATTTCGGTATGAGCTAGAATGCTGGCTTATATATTTTAGTTGAATATCAGGGAAATTTTCATTTACCTTAAAAAAAAGCATTCCATTGTACTGAACTATAGAACAATAATTGTATCAATTCTTTGAGTGTCAATTTCATTTTAGCCAATATATTTCTGTGATATGGTCTCTTTGATAATAATAGTGATAAATACAAAAAACAAATTATGGAGACTTGATTTTTACAACACTAACAAAAATAGATTTATATTATGTTACATAAAGGAGACTGTTAAATAAAATAACGTCAGAAAATAAAATTTTATTTTGAAAACTTTGAATCCTCCTTTCTTCGTTTGATATGTGACCTGATACTACCAATCACACTTTCATCAGAAAGTTGTCTTTGACAAATTTATAATTTAAATGTTAAAATGACTCTGCAAAAACTTATAGTGAAATTAAATGATCAATTTTTTATTCATTCTTACTATTTATGTTGTCTGTTTTCTTTAAAAATATTGAACTTATTGAAGTGACATGTACAGTAATAAAAGAGAAAGATGCAAATTAAACATCACTTCATCATTCTGCCACTCTGCTACACCCACAAGCCAAGCCCACCAGCCAATCAGGAGCGAGTATGCAAATTAACCCAACTAAGATGGCTGCAGCCACCGAACCGGAGTGAGCAGGAGGCTTGGGTTGCCCCTGGCGATGGAGGAAGCCAAGCTTCCTGCCTGCCTTGACCGGCCCTGGGCTCCATTCAAGGCTATAAAGTTTCAATTATAGAAGATAAATAAATCCCAAATACCTGCTTCCAGCCCGGCATGGCCTCCACTAAAGGAGGCGCTGGAAAAAAAAAGAAAAAAGTAAAAAAGGAGGGCTGGGAGCTTGTGTAACCGGGGGGCATGTCCAGCCTGAAAACGACCTTCAGCCCTCACCAGGCTGCAGGCACCCAGCGGATCCCCACCTTGAAGGGCTGTGGCAGCTGAAACGACCTCAGCCCCTCACTGAGC